ACTAGCCACCTCAATATAAAGTCATCGTATGGTAATATCAATATATTTGTTGCTCTTGAGATTTTATTGAAATCAAACTCCTAAATACTTCAGCCCGTTACATCCAAAGGAGCACGTCCTGTCGCTCACAAAAAGAAACCACCCCTCAAAATGTTTGTAGTGAGTTCCATTCACATCGGATACAGATAGCGATTTTTTGAGTTTTTTTTCTTGTTGTTGTGCTCCAGTTTTTCAGGACAAGTGATGAGTCTACACTGAAACTCATTGAAAACTAAACACCTTAATCGGAACGTTGAGCTCGTTGGGATCCGTACTGGGGCCATGGAAGTAGCCGCCAATTAAGCATGGGACTAATTTTTTCTTTTGCGCTCTCAAAATTTGTTGCAAATAGCCAGCAGCGATGAAACTTTCAGTCAAGTGCTTCACATGGAAAAGGTCTTCGACTCATATCAAATTATAGACAAGGACGATATGGTCGAAACGTCTGGCAATGAACTCCACAATAACAAACCTTGTAAAGCAAAAGAATTGAGATTCATATCAGCGAAATAATCGTTCTGATTTTCACAAAAAAGGACATCCTACAGAATTGGTCAGTTTTTGGTCTGCATTGGTTGTCCCGCGGCTTCGTAGCAGGCTGCGGGACAACCGATGCAATCTTTGCCACCCGGTCGCTCCTTGGGAAAGACATCGGAAAAAAGGGAACTGCTCCACGTAGCCCTACAACCTCGAAAAAAGCCTACGATCGTGTGACACATTAACTAATCTGGTATGCGCTCCGAGGACACCAAGAACCTGAAACAATTGTCGAAATTTACGGATGTTGTACACAAACAGTACCAGTCGAATGGAATGCGCAGCTCGGCCTATTCACGAGCTTCCAGATAAAAGTTGGTGTTCATCAAAGTCGACGTTTTCGCCAATGTCACTTATCCTTGTTATGGATTGACTCACATGAAATCTACAGAACGACGCTCTATGGATTTAGCTTTGTGCTGATGATATTCTCCTTGCGACGTCAACAGGCATGAACTACAGCGTCAGGTCCAGATAGGGAGCGACCGTCTCAGCCTTTACATCCTTCCTCAGTATCAAGAAGATAGAATATGTGATGGAACCATTTAGGTCAATGGAAACAGCTAAGCGTGTGCTGTGCGCTAGACAGATGCAATTCGTCTCAAGTCTAGGATCTGCGGATCCGTTGCTCACCCGTCGCACTGAATGGCTGTGAATGTTGGTCGACCACGAAAACCACTGAACGCCAACTCGAGTTTCTCAATGGGCACCTCCTCTTTTGACCTCTCTTGAAGTTGTAAAGCACCTTGTTATTCGTATTTGAGCCCTCTCACCCATTATATGCGATGGATGTGCCTTCAAGCACCCTCTTTAGTATGATAGCCTCTTTTAGCAACTAGTCTACCCTAGATGCAAAGATGGATAACTCCTCCTTTACCGAATTCAGAGGCGATTTAGGCTTATACTGCGCCAAACGAGCTCATTCTGATTTGCTGTATCCCGAAGATACAAATAGTCTATGGTACTCCTCTCGAGCAAAGAAAAGATAACGTGATCGCTCTGTAGCGCTGCGTCTGTCGTGGAACAGTCGAGACCGAACCAAACAACCGTTTATTTCCCTTTCAATCTCCACTAGCTTATATATAAGTTTTAAGAAATGAATAACATTCTACAGCGCTTTGAAACAGTTACCCA